AGCTGTAACACAAACTCGGCTGAACCATGCCCCTTGCTGCCCACCTTGTGGGCAAAGAGGATAGAAAAGCGGTGGCCCTTTGGGGAACCCAGACTTGATTGCTCCCAGAGCCAGGCTGTGACTCCCTCTTTGGGGCCCCATGGTTCCTGGCAGCTCCAAGTTTCCAGGTGCCACCACATTCCCAGTGCCAGCTGGGGGAGCTGCGTGCAGTGCACCAGAGTAGCTGCAGCCTCGCAGAGAGCCAGTGCCCATGCCAGCATCAAGCTGCCGGCACCATGGCAACAGCCGCCATGTTTGGCTGCACAGTGGCCAAATCCCATGCTTGCTCACACACCCCTTGCTGCTCTACGCCTGACTCACAGCCTCCCTTGGAGGCATGGAATCCAGGCTGGCAGAGTGAGCTGAGCACAGCCCGCCAGGCCCAGCGGACAGACCAAGCCCAGCAGGCCCAAGCAAAACTTGGGCAAAGGCACCACCAGCCACAGAGGTTTCTGGCCAGAAGAGCAACACCCCAAGATCCTCCATCACTGGGAACAGAACCCTGAAATGACGGTAACTGAGAGTGGCTAAGGCCCCAAGCTTTGGTCACACGCTCACCTAAGTGAGAACCTGACCAAAAGGGGAATTTTAAAACAAAATTGTGGAAGGCCATTGTTTTGGACTGAGCTTGTGTTACTAGGCCCCAGCAGACCGGATCGAACCAACATGGAGTCATTCATGCTAAATAATCAAACTACAACTTTAAGAGGTTTAAGCTAATTTTTTGTACTTTTAGTAGAGATGGGGTTTCACCAAGTTGGCCAGGATGGTCTCGATCTCTTGACCTCATGATCCACCCGCCTCAGCCTCCCAAAGTGCTGGGATTACAGGCGTGAGCTACCATGCCTGGCCTTTTTTTCATTTTTTGAGATGGAGTCTCACTCTGTCACCAGGCTGGAGTGCAGTGACACGATCTCGGCTCACTGCAACCTCTGCCTCCTGGGTTCAAGTGATTCTCCTGCCTCAGCCTCCTGAGTAGCTGAGACTACAAGCATGCATCAACATGCTTAGCAACATTTTGTATTTTTAGTGGTGACAGGGTTTCACCATGTTAGCCAGGATGGTCTCCATCTCTTGACCTGGTGATCTGCCTGCCTCAGCCTCCCAAAGTGTTGGGATTACAGGCATGAGCCACCTCGCCCAGCCATCTAGCTAATTTCTTTTTAATTTTATATAGAGACAAGGTTACACTATGTTGCCCAGGCTGGTCTTGAACTTCTGAGGTCAAGCAATTCTCTCACCTCGGCATGTCAAAGTGCTGGGATCACAGACGTGAGCCACCACGCGCAGCCATGAACTATTTGAACTTTACAACGCTGTGAGTAGCTCCCAGTTGAAAGTTGTGTGTATGTATGTATGTGTATGTGTGTATGTACATTACACACAATTTAATTGTGAGAAAATGTGCATGCGAAAACAGCAAACAAGCATGTTCAGCTGCACAGATAAGTTTTATAAAGTGCCCAATTATATCTATACAACTAAGAAATAAGTTGCTAGAATCTAAATTGTTGAAACAGGAAGTGAAATCTCACAATGCTGGTGCTGCTGTAATTGCTGATAAAGGACTGGTGTTCTGCAGGCCAGGTCCTGTGACCTGACAACATAAAGATGAGTGAAAAGGATCCCTGCTGTTCAAGATGCTTAAGATGCGTAGGGAGCAAGCAGCAAACCCATTGCTGCAAGAAAACAGCATGAAGTTCCGGCAGGCGTGTGCAACATTGGACCTCAGGAGTGGCTTGACGAGGTGACATATATGTTTCAAGAAGATACAAGAAAGCACTTTTTCAGGTTAAGGTGATGGTTGTTAACAGAATTGAGTACAGGTATTTAAGCAGAAAGACATTTAACATAGGGAATTAGGTACTTGCAAATTTGTTGGAAAGACTGGAGAATCAGGAGCCAGGAGACTGTCACTGAAGCCATTGATTTCAAGAGTATAGCACCATAACTGTGACCTGGAGATAAGAAACAGAATTAGGAGCCATGGCTGTGCCACCACCGTCACCACTGAAGCTGCAATCCGAAAGCCACGAAGCTGGGGCCTGAGGACTGGAGTGCTTTGTGCCTCTCAACTCTTACATCTCAATGCACTTGCCTTCCAGGGGAAACAGCGTAAGAGTGGTGGCCCCTGCCTCGCTTTACCTTCCAGGTCTCACGTGGGTTATTGACTTTGCACAATGTAATTCCCATCCAGAACCTTAGTTGCAAGGGGGTTTGAGAAATACAGTTTTTAACTTTGCAGCCTCTACAGTGCAGGAAGGAATGGATGCCAGGTGCTGTTCAAATATATCTAGCCCATGGTGGAAAAGTGTCAGGAGATAATTTTTTTTTCTTTTAAACTGTTAAGAAAATTTTTGTGGTTTTATTGTATCATGAGGCATTGAAACATCTGAACAAATCAACGTCTGGGCGGTGAGGCAGCTGCTTTCTCCTTCACGTCTTTGGGTTACTAGAGCAACTTGTCAGTAGATTAAAAAAAAAAAAAAAGGACAACCTTTTGCATTACTTAAGTCTTTCCAAGGCATGCGCTGGTACAACACAAACTTCTCCCGTCAGATGCAACTAGTCCAGCATCCAAACATCATGCACAACACCTTGGTGGCAGCAGCGCACCGCGCCCACTCCCGCCGCGGCCCTGCTCATTTGTGCATGATATTTGGAGCATCTGGAGGAGTGGGAATAGTACTGGGAAGAGGAGGGAGGAGGAAACAGCGTGAGTGCCTGGCTGAGAGAAGGTCAGCCGAAGTTGTGCAGGGCGAGCCTGAACATGTCATTGGTGCAAACCCAAGCATCATTGATGTTCTTTAATAGGAACATCTGGTGGAACCCCATGATGGGGTCTTCATCCGCCTTAAGCTGGCCCACAACCATGCTGATGATGCAGCTATCTGGCGTGGGCTGATGGTCCTGCGCCGTGATGCTGTGCTGGATTTTCTGGAATGGAAGGCTAGACAACTTCTCCACAATGGCAGCTTTCCCCTGGAACTGTTGTCCTTCCCACGTAAGGCATGACGCATCAATGTAAATTGCGCCTAGTTGGGTTCTATCATTATCAAATAACTGGTAATAATGTTGAATGAAGCTGGATCCAATCTGCTCCCAAATTGGCTTGTCTCCCATTCTGGAGCGTCACCCAGCCTCACAGAGACCCGAGGGGCTGGCACGATGGTGGCAGCGGTGGTGGCGGCAACCCAGCGCGGTCCTT